TCAGTTTCCATATTAAATACCTCGGTTATCTCGCTTTTCGTCTAAAAAATTTTCCGGATCGAAATTACGGGACAGCTGCTAACAGTGAAAAAACATGGACGCATAACATGGGTACACCAATAATTGTTGTGGGAAAACTTCTTATTTGACAACAAAGAATGAGAAAACGTGTTTTATGGGATTCAATCGAAAGTGTTGACAGGAACGAAAAAACTTTTCATTTAAGGTTTTTAGGTATTTAAGAGACCTACAAAATATTCATATATCAGATAGTTCCGATACCGACAATGATGATGTTTCTACCGAACCTATTTCCTCAAAGTTAAGTAGCTTGGAGAATTGTGAAAAATGTACCTTTTTCTACTTGGGAGTTCCGTAAAAACTAAAAATTTCTATGTACATTTTCCATGATTTTATAATTTAAAAATATGGATTTAAGGTTTTTTTGTTAAATAAGATGGGTTGTATACTTTTATAGAAATTTATTAACTTATTTAATGTTATTATACAAGTAAATACATAGTCATGTTATATGATTATTCTGCTGCTCGTAGTGTACTAGTAGAGTTCAATGCAGTTTATTTATTAAGTTCACTCATTCTTTAACATATTTTTTCCCTAGTTTCATGTTTGATTAATTAATAAAAAATAAAGTATATTTTTTAGTACCTATGTGTTTTAACCTATGGCCCTTTTAGTTTCGTTTTGCAAAATAAAATCAATTTTAATCATACTTAAAATAATATACAAAAACTTGAATAATTCACAAACGACAAAAAAACAATATTTAAAACATGTTTTAAGCATTTTGATTAAAACATAACAACCCTGCTTGCGTGTATTATGATATTGTATCATTCCCAAAAATGTTTAAAGAAAAACTCCACATGTAACAAATATAAATTTATTGACAACTTATTTCATTAAACATTACAACAAATATCACAATTCGTCTTTAGATTTTTTAGAATGACAAAGTTTAGTATATTCTATACATAGCTGTTCAGCTATATTATCAGTTCCATCTAGATAATATTCTATTAGTTTCTCTTCATATTCTTCGATAATGCCCTCACACTGGAATAAAATTAAAAGTCATCACAATCAATAAATGCTAGTGAGTAACTATCTGTCTTTGAATATCTCGTAACATTATTAAATACAATTTTTTACTAGAATGATTTCAGAAATTCTGAGGGGTATTCTGGAATCTCGCATGCAAAATTGGAATTTTATTGTTGTTTTTTTGTCATTGGCACTGTACTGTCATTTTTTTTAAGACGGGATGCTGCATCAGCGTAGTCAATATGAAGAAAAAATGTATTTTCAAGCAACTCATACATACTGCTACTTGGCATCTGTCGTTTTGTCGAACCGTGAAAAAATCTAAAGGCATTCACTAGCTATCTCGCATGGGATATTGACGATTCGACATTCGAGAACACCCCCCAAGTTTAAATATTCGAATAGTTCACGAGATAATCAATCAGTTCTATAAATGTTGTTTTGCATATTCCACCTACACAGACCCCATACAATTGAAAGCCTTGCATGCGCAGAAAAGGGGCAGGTTACCATTTATGCTTACAGCTGTATTCGTGTAGAACTGTAGACCAGGGTCTGTAGGTGCCAGTGTTGCCACATCTCGAACTGTTTCCGCAGGTAATGAGATTTCCTTCACTATTGTTGAAAATTTTTGAGAATACAATATCGTAAGAATGATTACAGGGAAGGTTGAGTGGTGATTTTTCCTTGACCGGTTGATGTAATTTTTAAGAATAAATAATTTTCTATAAAAAGAAAATGAAGTCTGATTCAAATACTGCTATCCTACTTGGCATGTGGCTGTGCTGATAGAAATTGCATGTGAACATCCAAAATACAACATAGGGTCGAGCATCATCTGAGAAAATACGTTAATCAATGCTAGAACTTTTGATTTATGATTTATTAGGAAGAACCCAACACAAATGTCTACTAATGTGTAGAAACATGTCATCAATTAGATTATATTTATTTTCAAATGTAGCACCATATGAGCTATGGTTAAAAAATCGATCAAGAGAATCACATGTGAGATATAGAGTTGACCAACTAACCCATATTTCTCACTCAAAAGCTTCCATGAATTGGTGGTTTTGGTTTTCTGTACGTTACACATTCATTGTGTACTTTTGTTAACAACTCTTTTATTTATTATTATAAGTTCATTTGCATACAAAAAAGAAACGCTACAAGCAAGTTTTACTAGATTTACTCCCGACTTATTATTGCCAACGCTACAGATTAATACAAAGATGCCATTTGCTGATCAACTGTTTACCTCAGTAGACGTCAAAACGTGATGGATACTCATGAAGTAGGGGTTAACGAATATCTACTATTACCGGGATCAATAGAGAGAGGGCCTCGCAAGGTTACTAAAATATCCCAAATAAACTTTCTGCGCGGGATACTCTAAGAATCCCCGAATCGTAAGTTTATTTCTATTTAGGGATGAAAACAACGTAAAGCTAAACAACGATGTATCGATACATCCACGTTTTAGAACAAAATCCAAATATCTCTGACGAGATAATTTCTATGCGAGAGAAGCGGGAGAAGGGTGCAATACGATGGCAACGCGGCAAGCCGCAGCTGCGTCCGTGGCTTCATCACTCGGGTTGCTAGGCTACGTGGTGCTTCTATCGGTTTCTAACATACGTATTGTACGCTTCACGTGCTTCTCGCTCATACACATTACGACATCAGTGATATAAGCATTTCTCTGTATATATGGAAACAGCGATGTTTTGTACACGAAATGAGGTAATACACAAATACAAGGAGCTTTTGCCCGAGGCCGGAAGCATCAATTTCGTTATCCTTGTGTGGTTGATTGTGTATAGTTATTTACGATAACTTTTTTCAGACGAGAAGAGCTGGTGTAAGTACTGCGTACCGTCAACTTTGAATTTTCTATTTTAACCAGAAACTAGTCTTGAGTTTATTGGGACAATACACGCGTGGTGCGAGATTTTACTAGGTGTGAACAACATAAGTAAATTAAGGCAATCGGTATAAGTGAACTTTAAAGAAGTTGCGGACTTTTTGTTGCTGGATCCGCGTAATACAGGATTTGAAAAAAGCGTTGCGAAAGCAAAATGTTTCTAAAAAAATATGTAGTTACGACATTCCTTCTCAACTTCTCAAACGAATGTTTGGTTATTGAAGAATCTATGAAACCATATTCAACACCAAATGTCTATTTAAAGTGCTCAAAGAATATTTTGAACAATTTGTTTTTTTGTGGTATCAAATATTTGAAATCTATATAAAAAGAGGAACTTCTCAAGCATTGTAGTGACAGATACAACAATTCAAAAAGGTAGAAGCAGTGATATACAGCGTTTCAAACTATATAAAGTGCTACAGCTCTTCAAATCCGGTTCATCAGTTTCTGTCAGTGATGCAAGACAATTTATCTGGTACATTATAGAAAATAACTCGGTTAGATCCAAATAGTTTACATGATAACAATAAGACTCATGCTCACAGTTTCAGTCAGTACAGCTCTTGCTGAAAGAAGCTTCTTTAAGCTAAATACGTACTTGAGAAGAAAGACTGCTTCGTCAATTCTATCAACTGAAATGGAAACAGCGGCTAGCGTTTGTTATGAGACAACCTTAGTCAATCCAGTGAGGCTAAAAGTCGGAAAGTTCATCTACGTAGTCGTGCCATAAGTTCTGTCCCATGATAATCTCATGATAAAAATGAAACAAGATAAGATATATTTATATGAAAGATATTATTTATTCGACAACATTTTTAGAATTCATAATCAAACAGTTTTATTCAAAATGTCCCCCCTTGGCCTTCACACACTGCTTCAATCTCGCGGGCCACTCATCTATCACTGCACGCACAGCTTCCAAAGGAATAGCTGCCGCTGATCGGATCAAATCCGCTTTCAGGGACTCGATATTACGGTGGGCTTTGGAGCAGGCCAACTGCTCTAGCAGGTCCCACAACTTGTAGTCTAAAGGATTGAGGTCCGGACTCCCTGAGGGCCAATCTTCCGCAGCAATGAACTCTGGCACATTGCTTTCCAGCCAGCGCTGCGTACTCTTAGCCTTGTGAGCGGGGGCGGAATCCTGCTGGTAGACCCAGTGTTGGTTGGCAAACAATGTACCACTTAAAGGCTTGACGATAGGATCCAGTATGTCGCTCTGATAGTTTGCCGCTTTTGTTTTCACGCCCTGTTTACAGAAATGGAGCTGAGTGACCCCTTCGTAGGACACCCCCCACCAAACCATGACTGACGCAGGGTGGTGGCCTCTCTCAACTCTCGGAATGATCTCCGAAGCTTCCTGTGAACTCCTTGCATACACTTTGTCATTTTGTCGGTTGAATTTTTCTTCTATGGTGAAGATTTTCTCATCCGTGAACAAAATCTTTCGGAATCCCCCAGCTGCGTACCTCTCCAAGAGCTTCTTGGATCTTGTCGCCCTGATGTGTCGCAAGGTGGCCGTAAGTCGCTGGCCCGTACGTCTCCGGTAAGCCCCTAGCCCTAGGTCTTGTTTAATGATGCGCGACATCGTCCGGACAGGAATCTTCATTTCCCTGGATAGGATCTTCTGCTTCCGGAGTGGATTCCTTTGAATCCTGGCTTTTACGGCTTTGATGGCTGCTGGAGTCCTTACTTGACGAGGTCTTCCGCTTCTTGGCCTGTCATCAACAGAGGACGTCTCATTGTACCGCTGAATGGTCCTAGACACAAATTTACGCGATATTTGAAGGCCGCGTAAGAGTTCAAAAATCTGACTAGCACTGTGATTACACTTATGTAAAGCTATCACTGCAATACGGTTCTCTGCCTTGCCCCACTCCATCGTTATGCTTCGAGAGATCAATACAAACTGAGGTATATGTAATTACCCGAAAAGCGCTTAATCAACTGACACCACAATGTAAACAATCGGACAAGTATTAACAGGTCTACACTTGTTTGAAAACGAGGGACAGAACTTATGGCACGACTACGTATTTTAATTTGCGTTTGTTTAACTTTTGTCATTTAATGCTTTGTTCAGAAAAATGAAACGCCAAAAAAACGAAGTTTAAACGATTTTTTGTCGTTTTTCCCCCAGCTCCGCCGTCACTGGACTGGTTTACAACTATAAAGCTTTTTGGTCATTGACATAGTAGTAACCTTGTGTGGAAATTACATCAAAATCTGAGGGACACTTTCCAAGTGATAGACGGGCCAAGGACCAGCGGACAGACAGACGCGAAAACGGACGAAAATAAGTGATATGGATTTCCCTGACGTACTTGTCATATAACATCAAAAAAACAATACTATCATTTTTCAACACTGGAGATTTTTAGTTTTGATTCAACTTTGAGGGTTTTCCTATAAGGACGGGTTGATATTGAAGTAGAATAGAAGGAACTGTGTATGAGGTATTCACAAAATCCATTTTTGATTAGATAGCGCCCTACCGACCGAATCCTTTATGGTTGAGGACGGCCGAGTTTCAATGGTTACGAGACAAGCGTGCCACAGCAGTTAGAAAGAGTGCCCCGTGACCTTCCTCACTGTTGTTGCAAGACAACGTGACGATTAGATGTGGGCACAATCTTTCTAACATACGTGTTGCATGTTTCTCTCTCTCTCTCTCTCTCTCTCTGGAAACTCGGCCGATGCCGTTGACGTAAATGATTCGAATGGTATATGACAATTTGTATGGACTATCACCATTCAAATATTGTCTTCACCACTGATTCAATTTTCAACGACTCTCCGCACAGATTCATGCTGAATTTGGGCTAGGGACTGAATGACTTCAAGGGCTTTGGTATACTGGGTCTTTACAAAAGGCCCCATCATCTTATCTCAAAAGAAGGAATTTTAAATTGTTTAGACGGCCCCATGCCCCATTAAAAAACCAGTGAGAAGGTGCCGGAATTAACCTTTTATGGGTACCATACGCACGTTCAGCAGATGGGATTTTTAGCTTAGTAGCTGATACATTCATTTGTAATGTATAGATTTTGGATGATCACAAGAGAAAGCTTTGCAGCAGTTGTGCGTGAATTAACAAACACAGTGTTGATAATTCGCCGTATTTGGTTTTCAAGATTTCAATTTATCTGATTTCTTATCAATTGGGCATTCGAATCTAAAAAATAAAAAAATCATGCAAGAACGTGTAACAAATCAGTTGATATCGTAGCTTATACTAAGACAAACAAAAAAATCACAAGCACAAAGGGTTCAAAAATACCGCACATAAAATAACAGGTTCAAAAAATTGTTTTTGTTTAGTTTTCCTTAGAATACAATTGTCTGTATCTCTAAAAATTGCTAGTATGTTGCCAATGTAGTTAGCTTTCCAAAAAGGTATGAAATGTCAGTATGAACGGATCTAAATGTGATCAAGCCAATCAAACCAATATAGTTTAAATAAAAGTTCTTTGACTAATTTATAATTTCAATAAATATTTCAATTGAATGTATTATTTTTTTTATCAAATGGATCAATGGATTATTATTTGTGCTAATCAGTTTGATTGGCTACTTGGTAAGAATTAGACAGTCTCATGCTGATGTTTTATACCTTTCTAGAAAGCTGATTATAAGGACAAGTTTTTTAAGCAATTTCGACACTCAATGTACTAGCAATTTTCTGAGGGAAACCGAAAACAAAAACAATTTAATTTCTTAGAGTAATAATAATATTTATTCACTCAATGTACAAAGAGAACAAACAACATGAGTAAATAAATATAGAATCAAAACAGGCCCAATAGAAGGCATTGCCTTTACTTGGACCAATAATTTTAAGTTGCAACTCTAGAATGCAAATGACAAAAATTAGCCACAGTAGATTATGTATATACTTGATGTTTGTATTTATGAGTTTATGACTATCAGTCCTAGATATAGAATGTAGCCACTTCTTTAAATTTCTTTTGAAACAATTTGCGAAATGTAAATCTTCTAAATCTTTAGGTATAATTTCATAAAATTTTGGCGATAAATAGAGATATGACCGCTGCATTATAGATTTAAGCAGCTGAGGAACTACTGTGCCACGAATTTTGTAACTTGTGTAATGATTTATTTTCAATTTTTTGGGTGTTGACAAACTTAAGGTGGGTGTATCTGGGTATAATTTGTCAGTGGGATAAAGTTTCGGTTTTTTAAACATCAGTTTTCAAATACTTTTTTGAAAAACATCTAAATTATAGATATGTGAGGAACATGCAGCTCCCCATGCTAATATACCATATGTGAGATGAGGCTCAATCAGTGCATGGTATAGTGTTTGAAAATATGTTCTGTCAGTATATTTACAAGGTATTTAATTTTGATACAAATCTAACTTTTTTTAAAATATAATTGACATAGATGTCCCAACACAAGTGAGGAGCCAAGACCACTCCAATTTATTTTATGTTCGGCACTCTATTAATTTGCATCTTTTGATCATTAATGTTGAAGGAGAAATTTGTGTAATTTGGCAGATGTCTAGCATAAGATCCAAATGATAAAAATGTGTTTCGGAATAGTTAAAGCTCAATTTTCTACTATGAAACCACCAAATCATTTTAATGAAATCATTTTCAAATACATTTTTTAGATCAGACCAGTCAGTGCCTTCATCTAATATTGCAGTATCATCTGCAAAACTGGTTATTTTGCCAACACAATTAATTTGGAAAATATCATGTAAATATATATTGAATAACAGTGGACCTGAGACAGTTCCTTGTGGGATACCACACTTAATATACATTTCCTTGCTAAACGATCTTGATATCTGGACAGATTGTGGGCGATTTGATAGATAATTTTCGATCAGTGAGTACCCGTTTCCTCGGAAACCAATTCTCTCCAATGCTTCTAATAATAACTTGTCGAAAGCTTTCTTTAAATCAACAAAAATGCAGATACAAGGGATTTTGTTATCAATATTTTGATGTAATTGATTTACAATTTAAACTATCGCGTCCGACGTAGCCTTCCCTTCTGTAAATCCATATTGATTTTAACTTAAAATTTTGAATCTTGTGAGGTATCGAATCATGCTAGTAGATAAAACTTTTGCTACACTGGATATTATTGATATTGGTCTATAATTATTTTCTAATTTATGTGTCGGTATTATATTACCTTTTTTTAAATTGAGGGATATATGCCGCATTTAAAGCATTTGTTCATTAGGTAAGTGAGCGGTTCTGTTATGTCTTATGATTTTCAAATGCTCGCTCTTAATACCCTCGAACCCGTGACTTTTTCGATTGTTTAAGGACATAATAGTGGTGTATACCTCACATTGCTCGACTTTATCCAAAATAAATGAGTTCAAAGATCGTTTTGGAAGCTGAGTATTGGGCACATTTTCTTGTGTATTAATTGCTAAGTTTTCACCTATATCAGTAAAAAATTTTTCAATTCATCGCATATTTGTTGAGTATTTTTGATTACTGTACCCGATGTTGTGTTTAACTGAGTGACACAATCTTTAAATTTTGTTTTTCCAGTAATCTCATCAATAGTTGTCCAAAGCCGTCTAGGATCATTTAAGTTATTATTCAATTTATTTAGGTAATGCTTTCGTTTTGTTTTCCCTGCAAGATTTATAAATTTATTTTTATATTGGTTGTAACAGTCGATATTTTCTGTAGTTGGAGTTAGTTTCATCACTTTATCTCTTTCTTTTTCTATTGCTGATGTTATTAATCCTTTGGTAATCCAGGCATTTCTAATTTTCTCTTTGTGACTAATTTTTATTGGTACTAATATCTATTAGTTTCTTTATTTTCTCCCCTTGCTTTGTCTATATTATTTATAGAGTATAATTATTCCCAGGATTCTTGATTGACATTTGATATTAGTTTTGAATTGTTGCCAAAAGATTTGTAATTTTCCTGGTTTTTACTAATGGTAGGGATGTTAGAATCTTTTTCATTTGAAGATATCAGTAAAATAGTGGAGAAGTTGTCAGTAATATTGCTTTCTAGGATTATTATTGTTATTATTAGTAGATGATGATTTTATTGTGTGCAGTGTTTAAACTAGGCAACACAATTAAATTCTTACGCATTTCTCTCATAGTTTCTTCATTCTTTAGACTCAAATGTCCGAATTCGGATGAATGTTACAAAATCACAAAAATTAGAAATTTTCGACGATACTTCCTGGGTGTCTGTTTCAAATTTGACTCACCAACAGGATCTCAGAAACGGTAAGAAGTAAGTCGGAAAATGGGAGCAAAGTTACATATTTGAGTAATTGAGAAAATGGCAACTAGTTTTGCAATTCCAACTATTTCTATAGGTAGACTAATTTTTTCCAAAAGCTTTTTTATTTTTCCTGGCTTTATTTAAGATGGAATTTTAAAATATAAAATACATTAACATGCCCACTTTTCCTCTTCTACAAGATATCATAAGTAGAACTTCATTATGACACTTCATCTCTTCTTCTCAATCAATAACTTTATTTTTTGTCAAAATCCAATATGGCATCTATAGACACATATAATAAGAATTTAAAATTCTATTCATCTTTGTAAAAATCAATAAGGCATCTACTACTACTATTCGTCATTGTTCTTCAGAGCAGTCTGGTAGATCTTTGCTCTTAGTTAAAAGTCTTGTCTGTTAGTCTATCAGGTCTGGCTACAAGTTTAAGGGAATGCATCTATAAGAAAAAATGTATGCTGATTGAGGGAGGACAAGAGATGAAATGTCATGTTGAAGTTTTAATTATGCAATCTTGTAGTGGAGAAAAAGTGGCAATGTTAATGTACCTATTACTTAAAAATCACATTTCAAATAGTCAAGAAAAAAAATAAATATGGTTTTGTGAAAATTTCTTTCATCTATCTGCAGAAATAGTCAGAATTGTGAAACTTTCTAAGTGCAATTTTCTTTGTAACCTCAATATGTAACTCTGCCTCCATTTTACCAACTTCATGTTGCTTATGGTGAGAGTAGAATTTGAAACACTCAGTATATGAAGGGCGAACTGTATTGCATTTTAGGTCCCCTATCACACTCTGTAAGGAACTTCGGAAGTTACCAGTAATATTACAAAAGACCTATTTTTTAGAAGCCAAATAAAAGCACTACCAGTAAAACAGATAATTAGATATTTTTAAGAAATAGAAGGATAACTTAAGGTTTGTATTACCATAATAGTACATACATTATATTTCAGGCTCTTGTTCAAATCATCATCCTGGATGATGTCCACATCACTCCAATTAGGGTTCATCAACCCGTCTTCACTGGTCATACTTAATAATGTTAGAGTTCCATTCTCTTTCCATATTGCCCGGATATAATTGTCCATTTTATCACATATAGTTTCCATAACTTCAGATAATGCTAGTTCAGATCTGGACTGGGGTACTGTCTTATGCTGGTAATTTCCTTCTCCATCTAACCTGAACCCACCTACTTCGACCATTTTATCTGGACTAATCTTACTAATTGCCCTATCAATTTCTAATACTGTTTTCTCACAGACTAGAACACCAGTTGATAAGTAATTTATTAAATAAAATAATATGTTTCTCTTACCTAGGCATTTCAGTTCTTTAGGGTTAATCTTTGTATTTGATGCAAAGGATTGCCCGTTCACCCGAAAATACTGGAAAGAAACTAGAAGTAGGTAAAGAACTAGCATTATTCTAACAAATTAAACTTTTGATAAACTGCTCAGTACTTTTTATTGCGTTTTCTTTGGAATGAGCATTGAATTTACAAGTGAAGCTTTTGTAATTTTCTGTTGACACGTATTCCGATGTTCATTGGTTGAAAGAGACATTACCCGAAAATGAGCGACCAATAGAAATACACGTGGCGGATTCCCTCATTTTAGATTTTTATATCTGAACATTAGTGTTATCGAAAAAGTCATAAAATACGCCAGCATAGGGATTTTTCAATGTTTATTATTTTTTTAGCAATTTGCAGTGATTTATAGCGTGAAATAGGCATACCTTACAAAATTTGAACATGTTTTACCGCCAATTCTATAAGGTTAGCAGCGCACTCAGGGGGTATGTATCCAAACTAATTTATGATATCACATCTAGACTGGTCCAATAGTGTTCAAGGGGAGTATCGTGGAATCTTATAATCAGTAATTCCCTTTATTTACTAATTATATTTAAATTATTTTACAATATCCATAAAAATCGTTCAAGGTATAGCAGTGTTCATGAAAGTAAAGGAAGCAAAAGATTATAATTTTGATTTTAGTCTTATACCTTCCACCTGGCGGGTGAATCCAATGTAATGAACTCGTCCAAACAAGCTTAGAAGATTTTAAAGCAGCCAGTCGCCAATCGGTCATCGTGCTGGGAAGTTGTAGCAGAATGTGTCACAATTTTCACTTGATGAATTCTAGTGCAAATTTGGTTTTTCCTTGTGAAAATTTAGCAGTTTTGCTAGAAGACAAAGTTGTGCCATCAGAATACCAGAAAATTTCAGTTTGTGTACATGAAGAGGCTCTTTTAAGGTGAGTGATGGCATATTTACCGTTGCATTTCTTGGGTATTTGCTAAAATATGTGAACACATGATCTTCTGGTGTTACGAATCTGTTTTTTTTCGTGAAATATTGTGGTTTGTTCCACTTTTTCGTTGGAAATTTGGTTGGAGTTTAAGGCCACACTACGTTTCCAAAATTAGCCTATTGATATTGGGGAGGTGTGAGCACGTGAATTCAAGTATTTTTGTGAGAATATTTTATAAAATTCCAATGATATTATTACTTAGTGCCAAATATAGATGTTTGTTGTCGGCGACGTCAAGAGCGTTTGACCTGGCAACCGTGGAAGCATGTTGTAAAAATTTAGTAAGCAACATATTTTTTTGTACCTAGTGTTGAAGATTTCATTATTATTCACCAGATGATTGATTTTACATGCCACATGAAATACTTGTTGATTATTTTAGTTTTATTCTGATTATCCACCCGCTTTAATATTGGAGTGGAAATTCATACAGCAGTCTGTATTTGTTTACTGACAAAGAATTTCAAGCAATATTCACCTTTAGGAGTGATATATTTACGGGGCACTTAGTGGCAATAGCGCTTTTGCACGTCCGGCTCCCTGCCCTTCCACTCGCCAATCGATTCCCGTTCTGTCCAATGGAGAGCTAACTTTCTTGCTCGCGGGAGAGGAAATATCATACGGTGTTGCCGTGTCACCATCTGGTGTGCAACAGACCTTTCTAAAAATGTATTAGTACAGTACCACTGGATTGAAGTCTGTCAAACAAATACACGTTGGCCATATTTATACTTCCACTGTGCGTATGCTCTGGTACCGAAAAGGTGGAATGCAGTAAAACACTTCACCCGCGACTGCTGGCGCGGCGTGCCTTTGATGAATAAGTAGGTGAAACGGTATACTTCACTTTACTGAAGGCCTTAGGTTAGAAGGAGCATTGAAAAATATTATTGTTTGGTGTGTATTATGCCACTCTGTGCCTATTTAAACCATGTGCTATGTTCTATACAAGTGATTAGCCAAACGCTAATTGGACATCGCAAACGTGCCAGCGCGTAAAGGCACATCGCGCCAGCTGTAACGTGCGATGTTTTTTGCTGCTGTCTTATTTTTGGTGCCAGACTATAACCAATTAAAAAGCAACCAGAGTTGCTATGTGCTACATGAAAAAAAAACAAGCATCACAAAATGCACAGACTACGATGCGTTAGTCCATAACGTTGTCTCAACAACTTTTGGTTGGGACTAGGATGACTGGGCTATTTGTAGTATCTGTCTGTCATTCGTCTCCGAAACGTTGGCAACGGTGTTGCAATATTGGAGGGCAAGCGGTGTTGCCATATATTGCGTATACTTGAAACACCAATGTGATAATACGTAAATTATAAAATTTAACCTACTGTACTTGCGATTGTGCGTCGGGGTCGGTGTAGTAACAGAGCAAAGCATGCTTGATATCTGTTTGTGGTGTATTTTGACTCCATATACGTGGTGCTACAAGCTTTTATTGAATAAAATCTTTAAGATGTATCACCTAACGGGCACATAAATCATATGATAGCAATGTAAGTTTTTCAGGTGTTCACTGCAAAGTGCAAAGCCTCGCCTTGTTTGGCCTTTCGTGGTTCTGTATGTCACGTTTATATATATTTCGTCACACTGTGTCAGGACTTTTATATTGAAATCAACTGAAACTTATAATAAAACTTCATAGAGTAATGTAGTTTTTAATTTATATGCTATTTGGAGAAATTATACTTTTTTGCCATTCAAGGTCGCCTGTGAAAGTTTCCAGTTGCTAATCCAATACGTAAATTGTGTTCCAAGTCTCATAACGACTTTATTTTACTATGACCCTTCTTTTAATAACATTGAGAAACCTTTTTTGTAATCATAGAAATTTGGGGTATCCCTTGCTGTACGACGCCCCCCAAGCTCAGGAACTGCAGATTGCGGTATTGTCAGATTGCGCAACTGGGATAATATTGGGATTTTACCGCCACTCGGGCTGCTGGATGCGCGCGCTATTTCTTTATTACGGGAGAATAATTGTAACATTTATTTGCATTACGTAATAATAAACAACGTGCAATTGAAATGGAAATATCGGTGTATCTAAATATACACGTCCAGACTTTTGGTACTTCCAATTCCCTGCATGATTCGACCTAAAAGACTCCTTTGAATCGCCGTTTCTTTGTTTATGGATCTGTGCTGTAAAATTTTTTGTGACTTTTCACATTGCATTTTATAAGGTCTCATAAGCAGACAGCAGAATAAGTGATCAGTGATCGTGTTGCTAGAAGCACTACCGGTTTTGTTTATGCCAGAAATAAATAAGTGGGCGTGTCTTACCAATCAGCTGAACTCCGCCAGTTCAACATGGCAGTTTGTCGCGTAATTTGAACGTTTTGTGTCGGTGTCGGCCTTTGGCTGTTCATGTTGGGAAATTACGTTGTAATATTACTCGAAAATGGTGTATTATGTGGATTTTCGAGTTTGGGACGGCATATTCATAACGGTAATGTTCTTAGATTTCATTTCTTAATATTTTGCTTCATTTGCAAGGCTTTAACCATAAACGTCATTATGCAAACTGACATCTTTTTGCCATTACTTTCAGAAAAGTACATCAGTTCAATTTGGAAAGCTCCTGATTAATAATTCGGCGATTTTTATTGCGTAATGACTTGCTGCTGCGTTTTAATACACCCAAATGTGAAGTATGGCTGCAAAGGGTCACATTACAAAGAGTCCATACCTGCGCTGCCGTCTGAAATTGATTTAAGCCCCTTTGAACCTTAACTGTGTAGATATTTTTAGACCTGTTCAACATGCCCGCGTATCTAAATAGAAAAAGATTCTGTCCAAATAACGTACTTTTTGAAGGTGTTTCCTAAATTTCTCCCAACCTTTGAAACCTATTTTTGACAGCATCTACAATTGTTTAAAGCTCTGTACCTAGGGTTGTTTTAATTCAATGTACCTATTTCAACGTTGCGTACCTGATTATGTGAAATCTAGCGAGTTAACATAGCATATTTATCCGAAATATACGTGGTATTTTGGACTTTGTAGTTAATCAACATATATTAGACAAGAAACATGAAATTCTTTTCTATTGATGGTAAGCACTCATTTACTGAAATATGTATTTTAGTATTTCTATTAAGTAATCTACATTTCTTTATTGACACATACTTTTATGCCATGTCAATTAATTCTGGAAGAAAACTGCTCAAACTAGATGGAATTTATTCCTACATTAGAAGTTTCATCAAGTATGATTTCAAATGATATATTTGGAATCACTCTTATGCCGCATAGAAATTTTAATTACTACTTCTTGTAAATCAGTCATTGTGGTGATGTCACTACAGCTGCTTATCTGAAAATGGGAGCTTTAGCTGTTTTGATACATCCTTTGGTACCTAGAAAAAAGCACTAGCTATGACTTTTTATACACTTGAGAAGCAAAAAATACTCCATTCCTCAATTCTGCTATCTCGAAATAAATGCATAAAAATTAAACGGACAAGTGGAGTAAGTCAATAAGTGTTACTTGGAAAATTTGATCTTAATGTGGATTTAGGAGTTACCTGTACCCTGGTATGTGCATATAATGTTCAAAGTATCTGGTTTTGCCAAGCATTAAATGATTAGGCCAGGCAATTACTCTGTCTTAAAAGCAAAATCCACACCTACTGTAAATCATAGAATTTCAAATATTTTGTGCAAAGTCTGTCTGTTGTGTTATTTTGTAACCTCCTCCCCAAGGCAGTGCAGAATAGGATTTAAATGATGGCCATGACATGGCAAGGATTCTACTAGGGAATGTTTTGAAATTTGAGCGGCTTGAGGCCTTGCATGGTCTACAGTCATCAAAAATGTATTTGTTAATTATAACATTTTGATTTCGTACAAATATGCTTCTTTTGTAATGGGAAGGATTGCAAAGTATATCAAAAACAAATGTTCCGAACATGTAATGTTAAGATATGGTTCTAATTTCAAGTCAATATTATAGCTGTGGAATTTCACAGTGAAAAACCTATACCTAACTGTTGCAAGACTCATGGATAAATACCCTAAATAAACTAACCTATGATACTCACAAAAATTTGTTTAAGCTACATAACTGTTTTTGTGGTGCATTAAATATTCTAATATTCTTATTCTAATACAATGATGTTTCAAAAGCAACAATTCATAATGGAGTTATTTTGTAAATGTAATTGGCAACTTAGACCTTAAAATACTGAATCACACTTTAGAGTAATATTGGATGGCAAGTAAATAGCCAAAAAATCAAACTAAAATTTCTTGCTACTAGGTAAAATAGTTTTGACATCCAAGTCATCCTCTGCAAATTTGTTTCAGGCATAGTCTTGCTTGTTATCAATTGATTATTATTCATGTCTTGTACTCTCTATTTATTCAGAAAGTAGTCAGTGGGCTTAGCATGTTGTCAGATGTTTGTGAATTGAATTTTTCATTTATCTTGGTTGTATTTATGTAGGATGAAAACACAGTTCATGATGTTATTCAAAATAATAGTACATTTTTTTGTAGGCATGTTTTCATAGGACTAATATTGTACATTTTCGATTTAAGCAATAATAAGCAATATTTTTAGTTAATAAATAAATTCAATTTGCCTCTTATATGGGTGTTTCTCTACTAACTGGAAAGTTGTCCGCACAAAACTGTCCCAACCATATTATTCTTATAAATTAGGAAAATATATAGATAAATCAAGAGAATTATGAACGAATTTCTGAAAAATGACAGGGGACTGTGCCCAGAGGACTCTTATTTTAACAAAGACTTGAAAACATACTGTGTAGGTAATTATACTATAAAATTATTTTAATTTAATCACTCAAATCAACAAAAAAAAAACTTACCAGTGGACTGTGACAACTATCAGCCAAGACGCGTGATTCACAGGCAAACGCAGCAGTAACACTAAATAACCATGGCGTACACCAGCTCACTCTGCA